GTTTCTTGGAACAAGGCTGTACCATTCTGAGTATTACGCTATACATCTTAGAGCAGAGTAACAAGGAATCACATCCAGCATTAAACTAAAGATGAGAGGGTTTCCCCTGTGCTACAAACTGTGAGGTGAAACACTACTTGTTTTCAAATCTGATAGTCCCGATGTTGGACTCTTGTATTACTTCTTGTCCTGTGCCTACCAGCTAGTTCATAGCATGTGCTTGTGGGACCTGGTTCAGGCCTGCAAAATACAGAAGCAAAAGGAACCTTCAGCATGTCAGTCTTTCCTTAGTTTTAGAGTTGTGTATCAGATAGCACTGGAACTGAGCTTTATTCATTCATTGAAAGATAAAATCTGTCAGTTCTTCACCTACTTTTTTATGTGAGTAGGTATGAATTGATTCCATCCAAAAATCATATTAAAATAAAGGCAAAACATTTGGGAGCTAACAATATATTTTTTCTGCCTTTTGGTAACCACCAAAAATAGAATTTGAAGCGAGATCTCTGGATGTAAAAGTCCAGTGGAATTAGCCTTAGCTTACTATGTCCTGTATTTGGAAAGATTTTGAAGTAAATACTTACTAGCAGAGCATTTGCTTTGGCTTCCATGTATGATCAAAACTTAGGTTTCTGGGTATGCTTATGGCTGAATGTTGTAAACCTTTCTAGAGCAGCATTTTTGGTATCTTGATATTTAGACACATTCAAAATACTCTTGTTGCCTTTAGTTATATCGGATTTAAAATATGTGCATTATTCCCTTTGATGTTTATAGCACTTTGCTTTTCAAATGCCTTATTTTTCCTAGGAGAGTTTCTGACTCCTTCCATGGATTTCCAGTCTTTATTTCTCATCTCCTTTTCTAATATTTCTATGCCTTCTTTTGAGAACTTCATTATAGCATTTCTTCTTAAATTTCTGAGAGGTTCCCAACTCTTATGGGGTAAAGTAAATCTTGCTTGGATTTTATGTGGAAGCGTATGTAATCCATCTTTTTTTCTGTGGTGAAAGGATGCCTGCTCTTTTCCAAGCAGTAGTTGGGTGACAAAAAACTGCTCAAAACAGCCTTTTCATTTTGACTTTATTTTATTAAAACTGAAGCTTTTTAGATGAGTAAGAAAAATTAAGGTAACAATATACAGGTATTTGTTAATAATTTTCATTAAGGCTTTGTACTCATCTTTTTTTCTTTCTGAGTCCTAGGAGGATACCTCTCTTTTCCTGTCATTTTATGGGCTCTGGTTCTTATTCTGTGACACCTGGTTTGTCTGACATTTCGCATTTATATTTCTTAGTCCCTCTGCTAGCTTTGTTTTCACAGTGGAGCTTTTCCTGCCCTCCCAGCCTTGATTTTTTATTATTTTCTACCTTGACAATGCAGTTTTCATATACAGCTTGCTTTGAAGGCTGCTCAGTACTTAGAGAGGAAGGCAAATTATCCTTTTAACTTTGTTTTCCCATGTCTGGAAGTAACACAGTAATTAAGGCTGAAATGAAGACAGAGACAAATCGCACAGTGGTATATGTGAAAACTTTATGGGGAAGTGCTTTATTGCTAATTGTCTTGAAATAGTCAGATGCTATGAATCTCAGGAATGAAAAGTGTCTTCTGGCAGAGGTTCTTATTACTCTGATAAGGTAAGATTGCATATGTTCTTTTCAGCATTCATATAAACCATCTTCCAGGTACTGTGTAACTAACTTCCTCAATTTAAGAGTTTATTGGCTTCAAGAGTTCTTAGTTGCAGTATCAGCCTCTGCTGGTTCTTGGCAGGTTACTTTTTTGCAAAGAGATGATCATATTATTTCTGTGTTTGGAAAATGTAGTACTAGAATATTCACTCTGCTACCAATTTCAGTAAGGATCACTTACTAGAAAACCACAAACTATACTGCAGCCAGGCTCCTACAGAATCACTGAAGTGTTGGTAGCTGAAGATACTAATACAGTATGACACAGAATGACTAAATTTGGAAAGGTCTCTGAGGGTCGTCTGGTCCAACCCCTGTGTTCAGGCATGGCCACCCAGGGCAGTTTTTCCAGGATAATGTCCTGGCTTTTGAGTATCTCCAAGGAGGGAAGCTCCACAGCCTTTTCAGGCAACCTGTGCAAATGCTTGGTCACCTTTACAGTGAAATAGTGTTTCCTGATGTTCATAGGGAACCTCCTGTGTTTCAGTTTGTGCTGTTGCCACTGGTCCTGGCAGTGTGCATCACTGGAAAAAGCCTGGCTCTGTCCTCTTTGCTCCCTGCCTTCAGATATTTATGTATGTTGATGAGATGCCCTGAGCCTTCTCTTCTCCAGGCTGGACAGTCCCAGTACTCTCAGCCTTTCCTCATAGGAGAGATTCTCCTGTCTCTTCATCACCTTCATAGCTTTTTGCTGTACACTTCCCAGTGGGTCCATGTCTCTCTCATACTGGGAAGCCCAGGACTGGACATGGTGCTCAGCAGAGGAGCAGGATCACTTCCTTCCACCTGCTGGTGGTTCTCCTAATGCATCCCAGAATGCTATTTGCTTTCTTTGCAGCAGGGGCATAGTGCTCACTCATGTTCAACCTGGTGTCCACCAGGACCCTCAGGGCCTTCTCTGCCAAGCTGCTTTCCATCTGGGTGGCCCCCAGCATGTGCTGGTGCCTGGGGTTGTTCTTCCCCAGGTGAAGAATTTTGCAGTTCCCCTTGTTGAACTGCACAAGGTTCCCATCAGCCCATTTCTCTAGCCTGTTGATGTCCCCCTCGATGATAACATGACCCTCTGGTGTATCAGCCACTTCTCCCACTTTTGTGTCATCAGCAAACTTGCTGGGAGTCACTCTGCCCCATCAGCCAGATCATTTCTTAAGATGTTGAGCAGAACTGGACCCTTTATTGAACTCTAGGGTGTACCACTAGTTACTGGCCTCCGACTAGGTTTTATGCCCCTGATGACCATCAACTTCGCTAGTGTGGTCAGCCAGTTTTTCCTTTCACCTCACTGTTTGCTCATCCAGCCCATAGTTTGTTAGATTACTTATTTTAATTCTTTAGTTTCTATTTTTGTTCAGTTTCTATTCTGTTTATATTTTCTGTTAATCAAAATTTTCCGAAGCTTCATGAGAGCAGTTCTTGGCTTGCTGGTGCCAGTGTGAATGCCCTCCTTTCTTGGTGAAATTCAAGAGTTAGGATTGGTTCCTTGCACAAATAATGATGATCTGGCCTCCACTGGCTCAGAATGGCTTATTATTCTGGTACCTCAATTTGTGTCCTTGTAGCTTTCAAGAATCAATTCAGTTCTCTGTTCTCCTTTATTTGTTGTCTCATTATGTGCCTCAAGATTTTATCTTATCTTCAGTTTGTCTTTTTAGTTATCTGATCTTCAGATGTCTCGAGATTGGTGGTACATTAAACAGGATGCTTAACACAGTGGGAGAGGCTCTCCCTTGGGATATTCAGACACAAATGTCCATCATGCAGTGCCTCGCACAAATTGAGACTAAACAGTTTGAGATCTTAACAATGACAAGTAACTTTAATCTTTGTAGCAATAGATTTGATAGAACAAGAGATGATAGGACTACTTAGGTTATTTCATCCAGTTTCCCTCAGTTCTTGGCAGGCACAGACAGGCTCAATAAGTTACAGTTAATGTAGAAATTTGTTAGTGATTAAGGTGAAGATTCTCAAGACAGCAGTGTCTTATAGGAAACCAGCAGGAAAGAGATCAGAAGTACTGTCAGTGACTTGGTACCTCATAACAGCAATGAATGCTAAGTGGCAGTGTTGAATCCTAAGTGGAAATAGAAACACAATGCTGGAATATACCCTAGACAGAGAATGCAAAACATCTCCAAATGTTCATGCTGATTTGGTCTGTGATAGATTCATTCCTTGTTCTAGGTGAAGCTTAAGGCAGTGTGGGAGAACAAGGCCCAGTAATGGCACTAGAGCACAGCCTTAAGCCAAATCCATTATTTCTGAGAAAAATTATCTCACCTCCACATATTCCAGGTGTCCATCCAGGGTAGCTGACAGAAACGTTGTAATTCAAAAAACACAGTACTTTATTCAGTATGTGTAAAAGAATAAAATGTGTACTTAGAAGCTGAACATAAAGAGTCTGACATAGACACTTCAGTACATTATAAACTAATTTCAGTTATATTAATTAAATTAATAGAAGCAAAAATCACACCATTTTGAAGTGGACTTTTTAGAGTGTTAGTTCTAATTTGAATTTTCAAACTTAGTAAATTTGGTACTGGTTTTGTGTTTTGAAGGCTGCTGACTTGGCGACCAGTTGGTGGGGAGTTTGGCTCTGGCTCTTCCTCTGATGCAAAAGAAAAACTGGTAAGCTGCTCAAATAAAAAATTATTTTAAGATTGCAAGAGCTTGGTACAAATGTGTTGTGATGTAGAATAAGTGAAAACTACAGTTTGATTTACATGAAAAAGATTTTTCCAGCCGAAGTGCTACTTCCTACTTATAAACAGGAAGGTATGTGTGTGTTGGCAGCAAAGTTGGCTTCCAGAAGTTGGCAGTAGGTAATTGTCTGTGCTTGTTTTAAGTAATGTCCTGTGTCTGGGAGCTTTCTCTAATAATGTATTTAGGGTTTGTGTTGTTTTCTGGTTTAAGTTATAGTTTTTCCTTTGTTTTGCTCAATATTCTCTTTCATGTATTGTCATGATGAGAAGATGCTGGAGGGGGAAGATTGACAGTTAGATGGACTCCCCCTCCCCTTCAAATACTCTCTGGTAGTAAAAACCTAAATGTCAGTGTTTATAAAATAGAAAATTTGTATAAACGTCAGATTTCTTAGCACTCATTCAATAAACTGATGCAAAGTTTGGATTTGCCTACAAGGGACAGCCCTGCAGCTGCTTTACTGCTGGTGAGGATTAGTGTTGCTGTTGGATGTTCTCACGAGATTGCTGCATAAAGTTCTTTGTAGGTCAGTGAAGCATTTGATAAGAGCTGTTCAAGGATATGGTCCCAAATGAGCTCTACTAAGAGAGACCAACTCCCTCCATTTATCTTTGTGGAGTGTTAACATGATTTCCTTAAGACAGAGTGTAGATGTCTGTGATGGCCAGTTCTCATTATACAGGTATTGTGCATACATGCTGTATAATCACTGTTTATAGAGGTTTGATCTAAGGGTTGGCTGCTCTTTTGATCCATTTTTGTCAAATAAAATAGCATGCATAAATGGCAATTATATTGAATGTCTTGAGTAAATTGAAAGATCTTTTCTCTTTGAAATAGCTAACATGAGTGTTTCATAAATATTTTGTCTTCAGTCTAAAAAGACACTGCGCAACTTCAAAACTAACAGAACTTGTATAATAATATTAAAGGAAAAATGTTTTGGATCCTTTGTTTTGGTAGGATAAAATTTTTGGAGGCTTTAGATATTTTTGTCTCATTTTTCTTTGGGTAGTTCAACTATAATGGAGTGTTTTGCTGTCTATAGACATGGCACCTATTAAAACACATACTTAGTAGGGATGAAAACTTTGTTTATATACTGGTACGAGAAGTTGATATATTCTTTGCAGGAACTGTATGTGTAGATTTAAGTCTTGCTAACAGCACAGTGCAGGGAATTACAGGTAGTCTCTAGTGGCACTTACAGAACAAGTGGCATTGGAAATGCTGAGTTACTGACAGGGACAAGTAATCACTATCTGCTTGGCAGTTAATGATGGTTGTCTCGGTTTGAGAGACAGG